CACACACACACACACACACACACACACACACACACACACAAAATAATAACCTGAACTTCAGGTGGGAGGCTCCAACTCAAGGTGAACATTTGCATTTAGTTGCAAACAGTACATTTTTATTGATTTATACTCAGAGAGAAAAGAGATTTATTTATCTTTGTTGTCCTGGAACAAACCTATAAGCTTCTGTTTTCACTGCAGAGAGAAAACCGACACACAAAAAGCTCATTTTTTGGCAACAAACGGCAGAAAAAAGTGGTTTAAAGCAAACATGAGGTCTGTTTTTATGACTATCAATACTGAGCTGATGAAGTGTCCTCAGGTGATCTGACTTTAGCAGGAGGAACCTGATGAACACGTCGTTATGTAAAAACAGCCTCGTCCATGTGGGAGGTGACACAAACGTCCCACAATCAGCTTCACGATCCAATTATTTCAATTCTGTCAGGAAAAAAAGGAACTCTGTCATTTTTAGAACAAAATAAAACTATTATCTTTTTATGTTTTGTGTTTGTTTTATTGGTGACATTTTCAGTTAGTTGTTTTCGACACGAGAAATATATATTTTTTATTCTAAAAGTCTCTGACATGCACTCAGAAGGAAAAATGGGTGGATTTATAAATTCTTGTTTTAAAGGGGACATGTCATGAAATATTTTAACCCTTTAAATCCATTTTGTTGTGTTTGGAGTCTCCATAGTAAATAATTGTTGATTTTAATCTCTCCTTGTGCTGTGTAGATATCTTTATATTCTGTTTAACTCATTTTTCAACCCAGTTTTCTCCATTACTGAACAACAACGTCACAATATTTGCTGAAAAACTGCTAAACACAGTCATGGATTTCTGCTTTACTAATTTCTCAAATCTGCTATTTTTATTTCTTGCATAAATTTGGATCCTGAAGCTACGAGTGGATGGACAGGTCTTCCATTGTTGAACTCTCTTAATCAATTTGTAAATAAAAACTTCCTGTAGATAACCTTATCTCTGCTATGAAAATACAAAATGGACGAATGGGGTGGGGGGACGCACCTCAGAACAGATGTGAAAGAGGGGCTTGTGGAGCTACAATAACCAGGAATTCAGACCAAAGCATTGCAGTTCCACTATACCCCAACTGAAGGATTTAATGTGAAAAATAAAAATATAAAAGCTCACGTCACTTTAAACCAACATTCTGTTCATTTAGTTAATTTTGTCACTTATCTAAAATCTATTTTAGCTCAATTTTAGCTAATTTATATGAATTTTTGCTAACCTACTGATAATTTTAGCTGGTCTTTTAGTTAGCCTCTTGGTATTTGGAACTTGGTGCCCATTTGCTTAGATTTTGACAGCCTTTGCTACTTTTAATTAGTCTTTGTTACTTTTTTGCTAACAATTTATTTATTTATTTATTTATTTTATTTATTTTATTTATTTATTTATTTTTGCTTTGTTGCCTTTAGCTTTTTGCTAACATCCTACTACACTGAGATTGTGTTTTGCTAGTTGGCATTTTGCTACATCAAAATTTTAGCTAACCTAATGGTAATTTTAGCTTGTATTTTTTTAGCTTTTAATTAGCCTCTTGGTTTTTTGAACTTTTGGGTGCCCATTTGCCATCTTAGCTTTTAGTTAACCTTTTGCTACTCTTAACTAGTCTTTGATACTTTTTGCTAACATTATGTACTTTTTTGTTACCTAAATCTAGCCTTTTGTTGCCTTTAGCTTTTTGCTAACATTATGCTACATTGAGATTGTGCTTTGCTACAGTTGGCATTTTGCTACATTTAAATTTTAGCTAACCTATTGGTAATTTTAGCTTGTATTTTTTTAGCTTTTAATTAGCCACTTGGTATTTTGAACTTATGGGTGCCCATTTGCCATCTTAGCTTTTAGTTAGCCTTTTACTACTTTTAACTAGTCTTTGATAAATTTTTGCTACCTAAATTTAGCCTTTTGTTGCCTTTAGCTTCTTGTTAGCATTCTGCTAAGTTTAGCTAGTGTTTTGTTATTATTGCAGGCTTTTTGATACTTTTACATTTTAGCTAACCTATAGGCATTTATAGCTTATCTTTTGCTATTTTTAACTGTTACTTTATTGATTGACACTTTTAGCTAGTCTCTTGCTATTTTTACCTTTTGGCTAACATGTGGAGTTACAATGAGGAAGATTTCAGAACAAAGCATTGCAGTTTCCATGTTAAAGGAAAGATTTAAAAGCAGGATATTAAAGCCACTCAGGAAAATATTCAGGTCACCAATACATCAAGGTCACCAAATATATGAATTTATGCTGCATCACGGTTTAATTCTGACTGGACTGGTGAGTTCAGGGGCGGGGTCTAAAACCCTTGGTTACAAAAATGACTTTATAAACCTTTAACTTGCTGTCAGTTTCTTATAACATAGTTTTTCCATCTGAAAAATGCTGATATTCTTGCAGGAAGTGACTCAGAGTGGTAGACCAGGGGTCTATGTTTCCAAACTAATGCACCTACAACAGGTAAGATATTGCTTACCTTTCCACAGAACCTCACTAACAAAACTACAAACTATCCCTTTAATCTACTCACCTACATTGACCTATATTACGGCTAACAAGTAAAGATAACTGCAACTGTTTCACACAAACAATAGAAAAAGATCTGATTCAGTTGTTTCCTGATGCTTTTATTCCTGTCGTCCTCTCTGCATCGCTCTCATCTTTGTCCTCTGTGAGAAAATAGTTGTTTTCCAAACAACCTACATGCCTGGATGTGTTTTCAGAAGAACTCCTGGCATCCTGTGATATTGACAGAGCTCCACGCGGCCCACTCCACCTTCAGACAAACCAACATTATCAGCCACCTTCTTGTCTTGGATGGCAGATCTCCAGCCTCCAACCTCTCCCACATCAAGCCTTATCTTTCCTTCTCTTCAAAATAAAAATAAAAAACAAAAAACAATCTGCTGATGCTTGTGCAACATCAAACTGAGACAGGTTCTGTGCTGTTTGCATGTCGGAGATCTGATTGGAGACCTGATGTCTATCTGGTCGTCTGTGTTTCATCACTTCCTCAGTGGTTAGAACAATACCAGTCTCGGCACACTTAAACCGTAAAAACACGTCTCAAAGTTCAAATGGGTCCTGGAAAGTTTACAGGACTGAAGTTTTATTGTGATGTTTTTTTATGTTAATTATTTTTTGCACAGTTGCAACTTTAGTTTGATCTTTCTTTTGTATATTTTACTACAGAATGTTTGGCTTTTTGACATGATGTCACACATTTTTACTTTTGATCTGTTCAAAGTTTTTGAACTTTTTTGACATCCAGTCTTTTTCACAACTTTTACACTTCTTACAGGTTATCAAGTATGTGATATATATGATATATGACATGACATGATAAGAGATGATGATATGATATGGTACGAGATCACATGGGAAGAGATGACATGACAAGGTGATACAAGGTGACATGACATGGTATAAGACATGAGATATGTCATCAGATGACGACATGATGTATGACATGAATTGACATGACATGAGATGATAAGACATGACAACGAATTGATTTGACAAGATATGACATGAGATGACATGACATGAGATATGAGTTGACGTGTGAAAATCAGATATGACAAGATAAGACAAGATGAAATGACGTGGTATAATATACGATGACATGATGACATGATGACATGAGATGACATGAAATGATGAGATGGCATAACAAAATATGACATGACAACATGAGATACTTATGAAATGAGATGACATGACTACATGAGATGACAACATGAGATGACATGATGAGATGACATGACTACATGAGATGACAACATGAGATGACATGACAACATGAGATAACATGATGAGATGACATGACTACATGAGATGATATGACATGACAACAAAATGATTTGACAAGGTATGACATGAGATGACATGACAACATGAGATATGAGTTGACGTGTGAAAATCAGATATGACAAGATATGACAAGATGAAATGACGTGGTATAATATACGATGACATAATGACATGAGATGACGATATGAGATGACATGAAATGATGAGATGGCATAACAAAATATGACATGACAACATGAGATACTTATGAAATGACAATATGAGATGACCTGATATGACAACATCAGATAAAATGATGAGATATGACAAGATGAAATGACATGGCATATTACACAATGACATGAAGATATGAGATGACATCACAAGATTACATGACAACCTGATATAACGAGATGAAATGAAATGGCATAGTGATATGGGATGATATGATGAGATGACATCACAAGATATGATGAGGTGACATGACTACATGAGATGACATGACTACATGAGATGACATGACATATGATAAATCACTTGCACAGGTATGAAATCTGTTGTGTACTACAGTACTACAGTACTACAGTACCTGGATGCCGTATCTCTCTCTGACAGATGCCCTCATGGCCAGAGAGGCTGGAGGAACACAGCTGATCCAGTCCAGCAGAGGCAGACAGGTACATCCTCCGGCTGCTCTGCTCACCTTACAGGTAAACACTGGGAGGCAGCAACAGGCCAAACAACCTGGTCTCACACACACACACACACACACACACACACACACACACACACACACAC